GTGTGTAGCGTAAATAATAAAATGATAATAGTTAATCGACTCATACGATATCTAGTCGCAGAAGATGTAAGATTACTTAATATCTTTATATTGTTATACCAAAAACCAAAATACCAAAATAAGACAGTTAATAAATAACATACCTACGCTCTTTTTATCATTGTTTAGTTATACGTAATGCATAGGCGTTTTGTGTTTAAAGTTTTTAAAATAATCTTTTCAGTCGTTTTATGTGATTCGTGGACATTGCTGATTAAAAGTAAACTTTTCAGACACCAGTAGGTATGTTTTATATATTTCGTATTTTAGCATACATGTTGTTGAACAAGTCATATACGTCAGTTATGTTTTAATATAAACTCATATACCTGCGAAAATAATATTTTACACATAAACAAACCAAACACAATTGTATATCATGTTTAAATAGAAAATGTCAAACGGGCCTCATTGTTAAAGTTTGGCCGTAACAAAATTTAACATTAAATTACAAACTTACGAAGTTCAAAGTAATGGCTTCAATTGAAATTTGTTTTAACATTAATTTGTTTCGAGTTTGTATTTCGGGAGCTGAAAATTACGATGCAAGAATAAAGGGAATTTCATAGCGACTCGACTTTATGTCCCTTTTGTGTATGAACATAATAAATACATTATTACTTCAGAACTTATCGTACTTAGGTTTGTCGACAATTTCAGGTCGATGATTCTGAATCAGCTTTGGAACTATATTTGACGAATAATGAAATACCCCTTAAATAAACTTGTGTCATAATAAAAAAGAAATTAAAGATTTTATGAAGGTTGAGGAATATTAAGTGAATATTTAGAACATACTTAAATTAAATTTATGCTCTTAGAGAGCCGAATTTGAACAAAGACCTTTCGTCTGTTTTTAACGAATGTACCTACCTATAACTTCCTTACTTTTTACAATTATTTTAACTTGTTAATCAAATACTTCAAATAATTAATAATCAAACGATTTGTCTCTTCTTAAAGCAAATTAATCAATTAAACCGAGTTACGGAGCAATCTCTTGACGCTAATTATAACAGATTACATTAATCTTGCGATATAGGTAGCAGGTCTGACGAGGCGTGGTCATGATGCTCGCGTTATGATATTTATTAATGAGAAAATTGTATTAACTTGGAGTCCAATATGCTTGAGAGTATTTTCCTTAAATATGAGCAATAGCACTTGCAGCTATTACTGGAGGATTGCAAACATATTAAACCAACTTACCTGGTTCTTTTCAAAAGACCTTTGGGCTGAAGATATGTTCATCACTTTCAAGGACATGGTGTAATACAGAACACTTCGTTTCCCTTACAACAGCACAAGCAGGTCTGTTCAAACTAATTTCTGTCGTGCCCTCCTTAATTATAAACCCTCCTCGTAGTTGTAGATTTACAAGACTTCTCATCTACCTCCCTTTACCTTTCTGTTCCTTTTCTCAGTTATTTTGTCAGTTTCTGCATTGTACGTATACAAGACTGCAGCCGCGTATCTTGTTTGATAACACGTGTACCGGAAACTTTTTGATTTTAGTAAAAGGCACTAAACACCAAAAAATACTATCTGGCTCCGAGCGAAAACTAATTTTAACTATGCCCGGTTCCTATATAAATTGAACGGTTTTAGAAATGGGTCGCGGGATAAAACTAATTGTAATGAAACTTTGCTATTTTTAATTATGACCTTTTCAATATGATCAGTATTTTATAAAAAGAAAAATAGGTAGGTTTAGACAAAATTTTAAAGGCATTATGTGTATCTTATAATTATTAGCTGTTGTAGTAAAAAAAAAGTTGATTTAGTTTTTTTTGCAGAAAATTCTTTATCTGATTTCTTAGCAAATTTATAAATAACATGTGTTGAATTTTATGCCCAAGGCAATGATAATGTGTTTTTGATTTGATTTGAGCACCAAACTAGGGTTAGTCAGACCGTGTCAATTCAGACCCATATCTTGCAAATCGTTACTCGTTCTCTTCGTCATCATCTTATTGTTATTTAGGAGAAGTGAGTATTTCTTCTTGTTTCTTAAAAAAAACAGCAGTTGTAGGTTATCTGCCTTTGAAGCTGATATTATTATATGGAGAAATATTACGAGTTTACCTTTAATCGGTATTCAGTACATTTTTCAGTTAAGTATCTACTCACAATATACTAAATTGAAATACATATAGTACTTGCGCAGTGCAGTTCTATTCCTCGTGTGTGAATTCCTTTCATATTGCTGCATTTCTATTTTTAAATCGCTCTACGCCAACAGTGAAACCAATTTCATAGAGCGACTTAGATGCTACCTACCCAGATTATCTCGTATTTCTAGGTTTTCGAAGTACACGACTATTCCATTTATGTATGTGGAGATATTCAAAGGATCTAATTTTAGAACGTCGCGTCGTTTCAGTTAGCGCTTTATATTATGCAGTTGCTGAAGAATTTGTTAACTGTACAGTTTATTATTATAGTATTTGTAAATGTTTTGGTATTAATTTATTGAGTCTCATTTTCAATGCTCTGACGACAGAATGGCGTGGTGGTTTGTGTAACGGACTGCTATTCTAAAGCTCGCGGGTTCGATTCCCGCTCAAGTCAAACATTTGTGTGCATGAACATTTAATGTTTGATTTGGTCTGAGTGTTTCTATGTATATTAAGTATGTATTTACAAAAAAAAAAGTATATATGTATTTATGTCAGTTATCTAGTAGTTATAGTACAAGATTTGCTCAGTTTGGGACTAAATGGCGTTGTGTAAATATGGTAGAATATTATTATTTTTAATGCAGTGGCTTCATCAAGAAATTATATTAAAAATATATAAAAAGTAGTGAACTGCTTCGGCTGTTTATGTAGAAATTACAAATAAAAATTCCTCGTATTAAAAAAAACGCATATAGCCTCATATATGAAGAAGACAATTTGCGTTTTAACTTCATCAACGTTGTCGGCTAAAATAGGAGCTCGGAATAAAATGTATGCTAATCTTACATTTGCATGTGACTGGGAAAAATCACTGGCCCATTAAAGAGTGCCGTATCCTAGAAACGTGAAAGGATGAAGTGGTTAAAATATAGTTAACAAGGGCCGAAGAGGCCATTAAAGGTCTAAGACCTTCCTTACTCTCCCGTCGTTTGTCATGCAAATAGAGATTGAATAATTTATAGTAGATTCATCCTCCTGTGTTACGAGGATCCGCATTGTTGGGCAAATCGGATGATATACTCCACCTACGTATTGCTCTAGATAACTACCTTTTACATTGTTATCTCAATGCTTTTTGTTTGATATGAGTACATAGAATACAAACTCGACACGATTACAAACTTAAAATTTATTATTGTCTGCATAATAGAACTTCTTTGTACAGGAAAGTTAAAGATGTTTCAAGAGCTATGGAAAAAATATATCACTTTTAACATGCTTTGTCAGAAATACTTTGATTTGATAATCAAAGTATTTTATCATGCATAACAAATTTATTATTTAACATGATCAAAGTATACTGTTACCATGTTTGTACAAGGTACACACGTAGGTATAAGCTGTGATGCACTGCAGGTATGCAAATTACATTTCCATGGACAGCGTAAATAAAATGAAATACAAATAATAACCAAAATAAGTTCCTGTGAACCAGTTTAAATTAAATATTTCGCTCGTCTACGCAAAAGAAAAATTTAAAACATTGTAGTTTGCAAGCTGCCACGTTGTTCGCATTCATAATGCTGTGGTTTTTACGACGTATACAAAGCACACCCTGTTCACAAACAGCCTTGTTGTGGATTGTTACTAATGTTTATATAACTTTAATAATAGTTTTGTGTACGTATTCTGGTTAGTTAAATAGGCACCTACTGTGTAAGCTAAGCCAAATAAATAAGACTAACGCCTAATTAATTTTGTTCGGCAACGTTTGTGCTCTGTGAATGTTTTTGCTATAGGTATACAGTTTGACACTAAAACAAAACTACATCGCAATAATTCATCTCTTTAAATTAGAATGATGAATGCTTACAATCAAAAGGCGTTGTGAAAACATTAAAATAAAATTAAGAGGTGTTTTACAAATTCATATCATAAATTAAATTAGGTCTTAAGACTAACTAGAACTATGTCTTAACAATCAGTATTGTCAGCTATTTATCCCCCTTGACTGTACCTTTTCAAGTAATAAATGCACTTACAAAGAATTGTAAATATTTTTAAATACTAGTATTTTGTATTGTTTTACTCGAAATGCATATTTAAAAAGTCATTTCACATTACTAGTATAATAGTAAAATAAAACAGTCCTTTTTTTGTTTAGTTACCTGCATTGAAATTCACTACACCCAAAGATTTGTAGTGTGTAGATAGGTAAAAAGGAGAAATGTTACATATCGGAACGGTTATTGCATAATGCAACGGCAACTCTGGTACATATTGCGGTAGCTTTGAATATTATTTACATAACTTTTGTTTTATCTTAAATAGCTTTTATCAATATGTGTCCATGTAGTGTGTAGAAGCAAACATGTATTTAAATGCAATGGTAATTGAAAGTCATGTAATTAGTATATAAATTGAGACTCTAGCTAGTTTAAAATAAGAACTTAAATAGCATTGACGTATACTAAAAACACGATTGGATGTTAGATAACCGACGCACACATGTGTGACCTTGATGTAAGCGACGTGACGTGACGTATGTTCAACGGTCTGAATACAGCTACAGAAAACTAAGTATAACAATGCGCTGTCATCTCGAGATTACTGGAGAGTGGAGAGGTTATGGTTGGAATGTAATTTTTATAACATTAATATATTACTTAATTAGTGTAAATGTAAACAAGACCTGAGTGAACAGTTTGTGTGATTATGTTGAGCTGAAGTGGTTGCGTTATACGAACAACGAGAGCAAAAACATTAGATAAACAGCGTGCAGTAAACAACTGATAGTAAAAGTGAACTATTTAATCAGTTTAGTACTTCATATAAGTTACAATGGCCGTGTCAGTGTCTAAAAAGTTTTTATCTTTGTGTAAAAATAGTTTAAGTATTAGAGCACTTTCTACAACATGCACCAAAAACGCGAAAGTGGTATTTAACTGGGAAGATCCACTAAATTTAGAAGGACAGTTACATGACGACGAAAAGGCAATCCGAGACTCGTTTAAAGCTTATTGTAACGAGAAACTATTGCCAAGAGTAATCGAAGCGAACAGGAATGAAGTCTTTGATAAAGAAATTTACAAGGAGATGGGTGGGATGGGAGTGCTCGGATGTACAATCAAAGGGTATGGTTGTGCGGGTGTCAACTACGTCACGTATGGCTTATTGACGAGGGAATTAGACGCAGTCGATTCTGCTTATAGATCAGCGGTGAGTGTCCAGAGCAGCTTGGCTATGGGAGCAATTAATAATTATGGTACTGAGCAACAAAAACAAAAATTTCTACCAAAAATGGCTAAAGGGGAATTAATAGGATGTTTTGGGTTGACTGAACCTAACTTTGGAAGTGATGCTGGTGGCCTTGTAACAAGAGCAAAGTACGATGCCAAAAATAAAACCTATGTATTATCAGGATCAAAAACATGGATTACAAACTCTCCTATTGCAGATATACTAATTGTCTGGGCTAAGGATGATGAAAACAAAGTTCGAGGTTTTATTGTAGAACGATCAGAGGTCAAAAAAGGTCTTGACACACCGAAAATCAATGGAAAATTTTCTCTGCGAGCGTCGACAACTGGCATGATATTGCTCGACGAAGTGGTTATACCGGAGGACAATTTATTGCCCAATGTAGTGGGTCTGAAGGGGCCGTTCGGATGTCTCAATAACGCGCGATATGGGATCGCTTGGGGCGCTCTCGGTGCCGCTGAAACTTGTTTGCGGATCGCCCGACAGTACACATTAGATAGGAAACAATTTGGGCGACCGCTCGCTTCCAACCAACTAATACAGAAGAAACTGGCTGACATGTTGACGGAGATAAGCATTGCATACCAAGCTTGTTTAAGAGTGGGACGTCTGAAAGATGAAGATAAGGCAGCACCTGAGATGATTTCACTACTGAAGAGGAATAATTGTGGTAAAGCATTGGATATTGCTCGTAATGCGAGAGATATGCTCGGAGGTAACGGTGTTTCGGATGAATATCATATTATTAGACATGTGATGAATCTTGAGGCCGTCAACACATACGAAGGGACCCACGATATTCATGCACTTATTTTGGGGAGAAGTATTACTGGGATACCCGCGTTTTAAATAAAATTGTAATTTATTTACCATCGATTTGAAATATTGTTTGTAAATAAAATTGAGTTACAAAATTACGTATTTATTGTTTCTGTTGTTATGGACAAGTCAAAATTATTGAAACACATTTAACATTCTTAATTTAATATATGTATGTTAAATCAATTTTGGAACCTTAAAAGCAATAGTTTCAAAGTTTTGACGTGATTCTTTAATTAAAAATATGCTTTTACCAATAACCCTTGTTTTAATTGTAAACCTAGAAAGTTTCGTAATGAGTAGCACAAACCAAAAAACTATTATAAATGAAATACGTAAGTAATATGATGTTACAGGTATGGTAAAGAAAAAAATTAACAAAAACTGGAGGCGCCGGGTATCGATCCCGGTACCTCTCGCATGCTAAGCGAGCGCTCTACCATCTGAGCTACGCCCCCGATGCAAGTACAAAATGAAATTAAGCGTATATATATTTAACAAAATAAAAAAGTACTAATCTGCCACTGGATCTAGGTCATCTCTATAGAATTTTGTTTTTGATTTCGGTCACCCATTTTGCTTTAATTAAATTGTAACTCACTAGGGTAAAAAGTTGCCTGTGCTACTTACAATTACGTGATTGAATTGTTTATAATTAATATGCTTCAAAAATTTATTCAAAAGGACAAGCAGAATCTCAAGACCATTATGAATACCAGTAAACCACCATTTGCCCAAGTGTTTTATTAGTTATATACAGAAACGCAAGTGTATATTTTGTATATTATATTATAGGTAAATTTTCACTAGATTTAGAGGTTTGTATCTTGGTTTTATTTTTATAATTTTTTACATAGGTTTTTTATGGTATAAGGGACAATCGAGCAGACGGGTCACCTGATGGAAAGTGACAAGTCAGGAGTCAAGTGCGTTGCCGCGTTGGAAGTACGCTCTTTTCTTAAAGGTTTGAACCTCGTTTCGGTTCGGTCATATTTGTTTACTTTCTAATCTATAAATGACGTTATGACCCACGAACACGCACGACAGTACGTCATCAAAATACATATATGAAATAATATTATTATTTTTAAATAACTATCGGATCGTGATTGAACACATCTAACAATATGAAGATCTAAAAGATTCTAAGGTATTCAGAACTATTGTATGGCCGCAATAGTAATTTTAAGTTCAAGGAACAGAAACAAAAGAAAGATAAATAACTTTCATTTTTTATTTTCCCTGTTGTATACTCGAGGAAACATTGAGTAATTATAGTTACACACAAAAACATCTAAGTGTTACAGATCACGTTCAAGACAAACGTTCTAAAATTGTACCAAAACTTTCTTTATATACCAATAGGAAAAAAGCGATGAGCCGTAGATTTCGTAATATCATTCGTCTTTCGATTTTTTAATTTTAATAATGCGATAAGAGAATAGGGAGTAAGACAATCCGACGTAGGATTAGTATACAGCTTCTGAATCTGTTATCTGTAAGATTAAACTTAATAAAGTTGTGCTTGATTTTAAATGAAAACGATATTATTTAAATAGCAACTTGACAACTTGATTTTAATGCTTGCTTCAAACTAACTCGGTATCTTTCTCGGAGTCAACTACTATGTTAATTGGTTATTAATTAGTTGCTACGTTAGTTCTCAGCCTTAAAATCATGAGTTATGATATTATAAGATGATTCATAACATATTAAACTTGCAACATGTTTTGCGGTTCATTACACTTGTAGCTCTGTATATGTATATATTACATTAATTTCCACACCATTCCACCAAAGTAGGTAAAAGGATTGGTAAACCATTGCGTACGTCGTCCATTGAGAAAGGAGTTGAAATAGTAACAGTAATCGAGGATATGAATTTTATAACATTTTTTTTAGACTGGGGATGTGAATTAAATTACATATTCTTAATTCATGTGTAAATATATATGTATTGTATATAAGAAAATTATTGTGCATTTTAACCATTAACGTCATTGTTGGATTTTTTAGTTATTAGATTAGGTCTGGATATAGGTAAGGTAGGTAAGATTTTCGTAAATTACGTCGTTTTCATAAATTGTGAATTTGATCCATTCTGATGACAAAAACCTCCAACCCTTCGCTCCTCAGAGAGTAAGTAAAAACGTCAGACGAGGTTATACGAACATATAGAATTGAACATTCAATATTTGAAGTCAGTATCCATAACCCGTGATATTTTCACAACGGATATTTTCCATTTCTTCTGCATTTTGTGTATTAAGAAGAATTCTTAAAACAGTATGTAGTACTTACACTTTTAAGCCTAGATTTGCTATTATGATTATAGAATTTCTGACGTGAAGGATGTAACGAAGAGTTTTTTTTAATTGACACTTTAATTGTTTGTGAAACCATTTCTTTAAGGCTTAGGATCAAAGTGATGAAAAATAAACAATAAAGTAGTATAAGATAACTAGGTAATAAATAATTTCATATCATACTTTGTTTGTACCTACAAAATCCGCGAAGAATGAATATCTAGCTAGTATAAATTGTTATCTAAAATATTATGAGTATTTCAATGATAAAGCAAGTTATAAAGCGATTCTTGCCAAGAAACATTAATATAAAAGTCTGTTTGCTTTATAAAATAAACATTAAAACCCATTTCATGTTGGTTTACTTATAACTGTCATTCTATTGTTTGCTAGCGATAACTCCCTGGTAACGTTTTATCAAAAATTATCTCGCAACTATAAAATAATAGTTGAAAAAGACATATGAGTAATAAAGAGGGTTTTAAATGAAAAATATTTTTGTATTCAACCAGTAAATACTATCAAAAATTAAGTGATATGATAGAAGAACGTGAATTTCACGACAAGTAGTTAAATACAGAAAAGCGACCAAACGGTAGTCTCCTGTCGCCTGTCCTATCCTGTATCCTAGTGGTTATCGTGGTCCTTGATATATTATATTATAGGGACACATTGAACACATCACAGTTTAAAATTATCAGAATAATTTACATTATACAGAAAATAGTTTTTCCCAGTGGATTCGCTTGAAAAAATAAAAATTCAATTTAAAAAAGGAAAAATCTTACGAAACGTATGTTATTTCTGTACTGTTGATAGATTGTGTTTGTAAAAATACATGGTTGAGTAGTTAAGGCGTAAGAGCTCAACAAATGTACAAACAATCTAATGTATGGAATATTAGTTTACATATAAATTTGTGGGCTAAGATAACATAATAAATACCTACCTATGTCTACTTTTGTATTATCCTACCATATTCAGTTTCAGAGTTGTCTTTTCCTGTTCTAGCAGTGAAAAATTTTAATTGGCCTTCATCTATTAGTCTTATATTAATTGTGCCTCTAGCTGTAAGTTTGCCTAAAACATAAAAATAAAATAAAATAATGTGACCAAAAAATATATATTTAATAAATTAAATATTGAAATAGAAAAATGTTCGCGCCGTTCTTTTTGTTATGATAATGATTATGATGTTATGATCCACTGAAAAAATTTGTAAAACTATATAAAATAAAAAAGAGATTAATATTTATAAGATAAGATAGATTAATAAAAGAGATAAAAATTAAGAATCTAAAAAGAGATTAAGAATAATGTAATATTATAGCTTTATTATTTTTCAGAGAGATTATATTTTTTTGTGTCAAATTTCACCCACACATCCATAGTTACTAACTCTAGCTGTTAGATTATTAAGGGGATAAATCCACTTTGAAATTCTTTCGCTTCTAAATATTATACAACGTTGTTTGATTATATTTCTTCCATCATAAATAATTACATCATTCTGAAATTTAAAAAAAGGGTACCTATCAAGATAATACCAGTTACAGAATTTCATCTTGATTATGAGGTACAAGCGACAGGCGTTATGATGTTCCAATATAAAAATAAAATAAAGTTTTCAGATTCCATATTTCACATTTATCTCGCAAAAATTAACATTAACTATACTATGCCTGAAATTTGCTCAAAAAGTCGTACAAAAATTATTTTTACGTAAATATATAGATTTCGCTTTGAATTTTTGTAACTTTTTTTTTTGTTTTTTTTTTTTGTATTTTGAATGTATTAAAATATTTATTCTAGATATGTTATCAAGATACGCTTGGAATCAACTATACCAATGAGAGTAGATAATAAGTTCATATGTACAAATGTTTTCACGGAGCGCGAATCGACTCCACGACCTTCACCGTGACTTTCTATGGACATATACTATCGGATTCACCTCAAATATGAATTGCACAATCGGTCCATTGGTAGTCGTTGAATTATGCAATTGCAGTCGTTCTAAGAGCTAACCAAAATCTAATTCAATTGCCAATTTTGAAGTAAATATTAACCTGAGTATTGTTACTTGTGATAGATCCCACCTCTAGCCAGGTAGTAGGTACTCCCAGGTGCCTACTTCATCTCTAATCTATATTATTATGTGTTAGTGGCAATGTTTCGTGGTCATGGAAAACAGGTATGATGTTCTGTTAAAGTTTTGATGTCAATGAATTAAGATAAGGTACACGTAAGGTCAGGTTTGATTCTCATTTACCTAGTCTCAAAACTTCAGTCATATAGGTATATGTCTGAAGTTTTGAGACTAGGTAAATGTGTGACGTGTCGTCATCCCACACTGTGCCTGTATACGATTAAAAACAACCAGTACTCCAATGAATATAATTATAAAAACTTTCTTAAACCCCTTTATAAACAAAACAATGTTGTTGGGGCGACAAACTAATATAGCCCACAGAACACGTAACATACCCGATCTCGCAGCTCGTTATTTTACAATATTTATTTTAATAATGCGATAAAACGCCGGGGAGGGGTGAAAGTGGTTTCCTTAAAACATTGTGGCGGCTTTGTGGTCCCTTCGGTACTTATTTAAATATGGCGCCTGACGAAAAACACAAAGTATACGCGTTTTGACCGAACAATACATATTGCTGTTACAAAATTGATGATGCGTAAACTTATTTTATGCTGTTTTTGTTTTGATAT